CGTGTGGCACAACCACCTGAACTCTGTAAGGTACAAGTGCAGCCTTTGGCACCAGAATATTGCTGAATCATGTGATTAAGACAGCAAAGTCTCAGGCCAGCTTATTAAAACAACATCAAGTTAGGAAGCTAACCAAACAGGAATTTTAAGTTGCCCCATTTCTTCAAGATTATCTGTGGGAACTGCTCAGGAGATGGTGCTGGTAGGGACTTGCTAGATTGTTAAGTGCTTTCTGACCTGTGAACTCATTAAAAAATATTTGTATATATTCAGCCATATGGGAGTAAGACTCCCTCAAGGAGATTACAGTCTGCAGGCAGGTGAGGCAGTTACACATGCAAACAGCTCACAAGGTAAGGCAGTGTATTTTTTTTTTTTTTAGTTTTTAGGCAATTGTGGTTAAGTGACTTGCCCAGGGTCACACAGCTAGAAAGTGTCAAATGTTTGGTCTGAGGCCAGATTTGAACTCAGGTCCTCCTGACTTCAGGGCCAATGCTCTATCCACTGCACCACCTAGTATAAGAAGCATCACATGAATGGTAAAGATAATAAGTATTATGAGTTCAGAAGGGGAGAGGAAATCACCCAGCTGAGTAAAAGAAAGCTTTTGTGGAGAAAGTGAAACTCAAGCTGGGCCTTATATGGGTTTGAAAAACTAAGAAAAGAAGTATTTCAGTTGGGATGAGAAACATGACCCAAGTTGCAGAATGGGAGCAAACAGCATGTCTTGGGGGCAACAGGTGAATCTGGCTTGCGGCTGAAGATCTGTGTGGAGAACTGGTGGGAAATAAGGCTAGAGAGGTAAATTATGTCCAGATTATAGAAACATGGGTTCTAAAACCACATAATTACCCATATTACTATAGTGCTTTAAAGTTTGCAAAGTGGTTTATCTGTAATAATCCTATGAGATCAGTATGGACTTGTGTAGAACCCCCTTTGTGCACACTCCCTCAACTATGCCATCCCATTCACGTGTTGGGGTCCCGAGAAGGCAACTGATGATTATCATTATTCTTAGAGTCCTAGAGTAACCATGAGGGTCTGTGGAATTTCTAGCGCTATCACTCATAAGCCCCCACTAGTGTATTCCCCATTATCAGTCAACCAGTTGAATTCCATTAGCTTCTAGGAAAGGGATAAGCAAGAGCAGTTGGCATAAAACATCTCTCCTCTCCCACAGTCAGGGGCATGGTCTCTCCCTGCACACAAAATACAATTGCAGACAGGCTACCCACAAGTTTCTTCCACCTCCTAACCCTAGAAGTCCTTTTTTCGCTGTGTGGAGTCCTCATGAATTCTACTGTGAAGTGGTATTAGTGATGAACAAACTGCTCTATTGCTCAGCTGGGCTGGCTCCTTAGAGGGCACAGTGTCTCCACTAGACAGGTAGCTCAGCTTTTCATGGGGTGTGGGCTGAGTTAAGCAGCTCACTCATCTGCTCTACTGGTTCCTCACAGGGCTCAGCCCCTGCTTGGCCAGGCCACTCAGCAGCCACACTGTTATTTTTGCCATACTATGTGATGCTCACCTGGGCACACTCAGCTCATGGTTGCTGGTTGGTCACTTTCCACTATCTCTATTATTAGCTTCTGTGGACTCTGCTACTAACTTTAGTCGCTAGAACCTTATGATCCTGTGAACTTATGTGATCTCTTGGTCACTTCCCTCTTTCAATATTCACTCACCTCACTGAGAACGAGAAAGAACAAAGAGAGATAAAGGCACTATGTGCTCATGGACACATGGAAACTATGTGGAAGAACATCACCAGCTGTCCCTCTCCCAGCAGGTAGCTCAAAGCAGTTCTGCCTCACTCACTTCCAGGAAGGAAAGAGGGTGAGGGATGGGCAGGTCACACCTTTGTAAGCATACTCAGCTCCAGCTCATCAGCTCCTGAATCATTAGCTCTTTTGGCTTCATGGCCAGTTCAAGACTTTTCATCATCACCTATTACCAACATTTGAGTCACTCATGGCCAGGATCCAGTTCCCCAAAGTTTCCATGTGGGTGGATTAGAAGCAGGCAGAAAATACTCATACATATTATAAAGATTGGTCCCTCATTGGTCAAACCCGTTATTACATTTGCACTATGACAAGTATTATCATCCCTATTTTACAGATGAGGAAACTGAAACTCAAAAAGGTGAAATGATTTATTCAGAGTCATACAGCTGGCAATTATTAAAACCAAGATCTAAACCTGTCCCTTGATTTTGAGACTCTTTCTTCTCTGTCATATTGCCATAGAATATTAACATCTGGGGTTTGATTCAGAGGAAGAAAGGAATCACTTGTGTCTCAGCCAAGCAGAAAGGGAATCGTACTTCACATGATCACTGTTGACTTAGATCCATGGAAGAGATGTTCTTGCTGAAACACACACAGCTTGATATAATCGAGTGAATATGTGAATGCGAAAGGATTTATTAAGCATTTACTATGTGCCAAATATTGTGCTAAGCACTGATGTTATAAGCACAAAATGCTCTCATGGAGTTGACATTCTACTGAGAGAGACAGCATAGAGAGGATAGCCGTGGTGGGGGAGGTACACTTTGGTCCAGAGTATTACAGAGACAGCAAACGGTGCTACAGGGGGTCAGATTAACACACTTTATGCAGGAACAAGGGCAGAATAGATTTGTTTATGCTTCCTGCTTCCAGAATGGGGCATGGGGAAGGAGAATATGTGCACTGGAATAGAGAACTATACAGCAAACATAAACCAACTATGCCTGTAGCTATCTAGCTGTTTCTTCCTGCGCTATAGGTGCCCTGTCTAAGGAAAGGGGGAAATGGGTGGTCATCATGAAACTGCTGGACTTTTTAAAGATTCAGACCTATGGGCTTCAACTACAGGATTTGGAGCTAGAATGAACCATCTGTTTTAATCCCTTAATTTGATAGATAAGGAGCCTGAGGTCCAGGTTCCTTGTCCAAAATCACAACCTAATAAGTGTCAAAGTTGGGATTTGAATCCATGTTTTCAACAACAAATCCAGGAGTCTTTCCACTATACCACCCTGCATCAAGTTAATCTGAATAGGATTTTAAACATAATTCCCTTTCTGCTTGTCTAGGAGCATCAGTGACTCATTCCCCACTTTTGATGAAAAAATGGACAGAACATTGGGCTAGGAAGCAGAAGATCTGGGTTCTAATCCTAGCTCAGGTCACTTAACATCCCTGGGTATCAGTATTTTCATCTGTCCAATGAGAAGTTTGGACTCTCCAGATATCTGAGGTTCTATGTAGCTCTTGAATTCTAATATTCTTTAAAAATCACATATTTGCCTGTTGATTTCTCTTTTGTTTCAGGATAAAGTCCTGGGCAAATACGTACAAATGAGTAACAACCAATTCAGCCATGATTTAATGAACTGATAGGCTGAATGATCCACTTGGGTACCATAAGGTCTTAAGACAAATTAAACTAAGTATGAAACAAGGGTTTTTGTTTGTTGATTATGAAAAAACTTTTGATTTGGTAAGATCCAAATGTCACCTTAAAGGCTCTTTCACAACAAAGTATTGCCCATCCATACATCAAAATAATTCAGGATTTCCTGAAAGATATGACAGAATAACATTCAGTCACCTTATAATGCTGACACCAAGTCAAGACACAAAACAATAGGATGTATGCTCCTCAAAGGTATTTGCCACTGTGACAGAAGAGTCAGTGCAAAATACAAGTTGAAGAGGATCACTCCATGAATGACAAAGTTCCTCCAGATATTCTTGTTTTATGTAGGACATTATGCTGGTTGTGTCAAATTCCAGAATATGGCAGAGCCTCCTGGAAAATATTTGTATCCACACAAAAGAATTTAGTCTGATAATCCACAGAGAAAATATGGTTAAAGTGGATGAAGACTATCTATTGCCTAGATGATGACATGCAGTTGGATGGGCAACTTACAGCATATGAATGGTTGATGATTTGGGCCCAGAATTAAAGAGGAGCGAGAGAGAAGGTTAGATTGCCTACAGGAAATTGCAAAGCTCCTCTAATGACCCTACATTTCTCCTAGAAACAAAGGCTCATTTTTTTAAATACCAGTATTCTGCTGGTGATATGGATAGCTGTGAGAATGGAATACAACAATTTCCCCCAAATTAAAAATCAGTATCATGAAGAGGTCAGTAGAGAAGTATGCAGTAGATATGAGCAGGCTATAACATAGAAGCCATAATGAACTTTATGGAAGAACAGGAATGAAGATTTCAAAGAGGAAATGAAGGACAAGAGAAGATGGGCTGGTTATGTAGAGAAGGGAGTGGCTAGTCCGAGCTAAATGTTCCACTGAAAAAAGTCTTCAGCCCATTGGATGGACCCCCGGTGGTAAACTCAGAGGAGGGCATCTACAAAAGTAGATATGGTAGAATGGTGGTCAGCATCACTGGAAGGAGCTCTAAAACTGAGGACAGTACAAGTTCATTTACTGGAGAGCACCAACGACCCCCCAAGACAAATGCTCCAGTCACTTCCCAAAATCCCATAGAATCCCTCGCAGCAGATGGCTAATGGCAATGGTTGTCTCATGCTGGCACACTTAAGTGATCAGCCTAGGCTCTGGCAAGCTGCTGGGCCAGAGACCCCAATTCCAGGTAAGACACTCCCACAAGGAGCCCTGTTGTTACCTTTGCAAGCACGAATTATCACCACTTCCTAAAAATCTAACTGCTGCTGTTCACTTGAGTGACCTCCTATACTTCATTCACGCCCCTAGTTTCCCAAAAGGCAAAAACAAACATTTGAGAAATCATGAATTCTGGTTTTCCGAGGTGGCTATCCGCATGAAGGAAAGTGTGTCTACTAAACTTCATCTTGTAAAATCTACAGCTGCGGGTGGCAGAAAAACTAAAAAGTGTCTTAACCCATTTCCAAAATGTAGTTTTTGGAATCAGAAACCCTCCCTGATCTAAATAAAGTAACTTAACAAGTTTTCACTTTATTTAGAGAGAGAATTTGCATCCAATCCAACAACTTACCTGCCAAGTAGCAGTTTTATGGGAACTAAAACAGACGACTTATGAACCACTCGGCATACTTGTTTATAATGGAAATTGCAAATAAGAAGAAATGATATAATTATGAAGTATATTTCACATGAAAGATTTTGACTTGAATGTTTTAGAGATACTTTGTGTTCTACAGGATAAGATACTGATCCTGAACTAATTGGAAACAATTTAGTTGCATAATGTAACTATGATACATGCTTCCCTTTTCAGATAGGTTCAAGCTGTTAACTGGGCCTTTGTAATGCCTGTGGTTGTGTTTGAAGAACAGGATTTGTAAATCATAAAATCCCATGCTTCATGTTCATAGGCAGATCCTGGATGTATTCACCTGAAATGCCTGAGCTAGGAGAAACTGGAAAAGGAAGATGTGTGTCTAAAACTCTAGAGGAAGCAAGGGCTCAGCAGCACATTCTGGTGACTAACCTACATGGTTGGGCTGCCTGGAGATGCACGAGCTCTCCTTAGCCCAGACCCTGGGAGACCAGCAGCACTTCTATCAGAAGTTACTTAAATTGGCTGAAGGCAAAAAGAAGAAACTCGAGATATGGGCTGTCTCAGCCTTTGTGGGAAGGGAGGAAGAGAGGGAAACCATGAAGCTTCATATTCGTCCATTAAATGGCAAGTTTGGGAGCTAAAGGAAGATTTTACAGAACAGGTCAAATGTGTGCCCTGTGTCTGCTGTCCAAGAGCTTCCATGCCAAAGAAGAGCAAACAGGTTTCCAGTTTGGATTGAAAGAGAAATCAAATAGATGGTAATTTGCACAAATGTTGGGAATCATGGAAAATGGGTAAGAAATGGCACTAAGTAATGAACAATCCATAAATATGTAAGAGAACCATTCATGAGTGAAGGAGAGAGTCATAACATCTCAGAGGGGGAAGAGATCTAAGGGACAATCTAGTCCATTGTCTTTATTTTAAGAGAAGAGGAAGCTTGCCTCGGTAAATGGAAGTGATTTCCAAGATCACACAGAACTGGAACACAGGTCTCCTGATTCCCTCTAGAAACAATGGGGTAAGGTAATCTTGCAAAGTGATGGCAAGGTCAGAACTACAATAGAAATGAACCGCGCATATACATACATGTTCTTCTGCATCTAACTGCAGTAATTTTTTAACAAGATAGCCTTTTGAACTCAATACAACTATACCTCAAGATAACTTTGAGCAAAGTTGGCTTCAAAGATAAATTATTTATACTGATATAGCACTGATGGGAATGTGGTGGTGCCCCAATTCTCCCACAAACGTCCACAATAAAGCCTAAAAATTCAAACAATAAACAATGATAAAGAAAACTGAAGAGAATAATCTATAAACTCTTCATCTGTTCCAGGACTATACAAAAAGACCACCAAAATCCTGTGGAATTGGAAAATGGAAATAAGCTACAGTAATCAGAAGATGAAATACAAAGCTGCCCAATCCCACAGCAAAGGATGGGGCAACAGCACCAATAAAATAGTGCCAGTGCCACAAGGCATAACCCACGGCCTAATCCCCAGGTACGCTAGGAGATGGGTCAGACCAGAATCCAGACAGCTGCCCTACCCATTACCCAGGCAGCCTGTGCCTGAACCACAGCAGGAGGCAAGGTCATACAACCTCTGCAGAAGGTGGGGCCTAATTTGAGCCACTGAATTCAGTAACTACCTCTACCATCCAGGATCATGGGAGAAGAGTTTGACCCAAGGACAAGACCCCAAATTCAGACACTGAGACTAGAGATATGAGTAAATGAGGGAAAAACACAATGAAAAAGTAAATATCTGAACTGAGAGAAGCTCAAGGAGTAAACTACACAGAAAAGAATAAATCCATCCAAGGTGAGCCTCAGAGGAAAAAAAAGTCATGGCCACAAGGACTAGAAGAGTACCTGGAAGAAGTGAAATAGATATAAATGGAAGAACTAGGGAAGAAAAAATGGTAAGGATTAAGAACTTAGAACAGATGATGGAAAACTTTAAGAACTTAACTAACTGAAAATTAAAATGGGCCAAACAGAAACCATGATGGAACAAGAAATATTAAAAATAAATAAATAAATAAAAAGACTGAAGAAAAAAAACCAGAAGAAAATGAGGAGTACGTACTCTCAAAAATAACAGACATAGAAATTAGTTCAAGGAGGGGTAATCTTGGAATTGTGGACTCCTCAAATTAGGTGGATATCATACTTTTAAAAATTCTAAATGAAAACTGCCTAGAATATTAAAACCAGAGAGTAAAGTGAAAATAGAAAAAAATACACCAGTCACCTCCTGAGAGAAACCCCAAAATGGAAACTTCTGTCATAAATGAAATCCAGACTTTCCAGGTCAAAGAAGAAATACTACACTTGCCCTTTGGCATTTACATGGGATTTCATCTCATTCAGTTTGGTCCAGTGTTCTAGTCAGTCACAATTTTTCTGCATCTCTACTCTGAGGCTCAGTTAGTGCTATCCCACTTAGCTCTCTGTCCTGTGAAAAACATGCTAGTTAGGTGATCTACAGATTTGGACTCAAATGCCATGATCCCAAATATGTTTACAGAAGAAACAGAAATGTCCTTCATCCAAGTCATTGATAAAAATGTTGAACAATACAAGGCCAAGGACAGATCCTTGAGACTCTCCGCTAGTGACCTTCTTCCAAGCTGACATGGATCCATTAATGATTTTTGTGAAGCCAATCTTTCAACCAACTCCAAGTCTATAACTATACAATCACATGGCCTACATCTATTTCTGATCAGCCTGAATTATGAATATTCTTCCCTTTTTCCCTCCTTCCTTCCTTTCCAAAGCAGTTTTTGTCTACTACATGCCAGACATTGTACTAGGCACTGGAAATATCAAGGCGAAAATTAAATAGTCCCTGCCCTCATGGAGCAGGGACCATTCGTTTTCTCCCTTGAAGAGAAACAACATGTATATAGATAGTAAATGAAATGTAAAGAAATGTAAAGAAATTTTGAAAAGGAGGGCTTTGGCAACTGGAAGAATAAAGCTTAGCTGTATGTGAGAGGTGGCACCTGAGCTGAGCCTTGAAGAAATCTAGGGATTTGAAGAAGGAAGGGTGAGGAGGGAATGCATACCAGGCACAGTAGCCTATGCAAAGACCTGGAGGTGGGCAATGGAATGTCTTGAATGGGGAACAGAGAACAGGCTAGTTTAGCTAAACCATCGACGGTAAAGCAGAGTGAACTGAAATCATCCTGGAAAGTGGGCTAGAGCTAGATTTTGAAAGGTTTTTAATGGCAAACAGAATTTACATTTGATCCCAGAGGCAATAGGGAGCCCTTGGAGCTTCTTGAGCAAGGGATTAGCCTTGTGTTTTAGGAATATGAGGATGAAGGGAATGAATGTGAGAGATGTTGTGAAAGTAGAATTAACAAGACCTGTCCATTGGTTAAGATGTGAGGGGTAAGGAAATGGGAAGAACCAAGGCTGACTCCAAGATCCCCGCCCCCAAGAAGCTTACATTGTAATAATAGAACACAATCCATACAGGGTAGTACTATCCAGGAAGCATTTTTTGGTAGTGTTGACTTGACAACTATCCCCAGAGCTCCTGTAGGAAGCAGGGTGGCACACTTGACAAAATCCTATGAAGATCACTGGGGAGCACAGTGGTTTGGGTCCACACTATAAATGGCAAACACTCACTCATCAGGATCCAGGGTCCCAGGCTGAAGACCAATTGAAGGTAGAAGCCAGATTCTAATACAGCAGCATGGCAGCATGAAGATGGCTCAGGAATCTATTTTTTCCTACCTTTGTTGCATATCATTCCTCAATTTTAAGCCTTCTTCCCCAAATTCACACTGTAATCTCAGATACTATTTTTTCCCTAAGTATTAATTCCCAAATCCTTTTCATTTCAAGGTTTCTATCTTTAATAAGTGAAAGTAGTGAATGCATACATGAATAAGTGAATGAATGAAAAAAAACCACTTACTGAGCATTTAATTCTGTGTCAGGCACTGTGCTAAGTACTAGGAATGCAACTATAAACAAGTAGGAAAGTCTCTGCCCTTAGGGAGTTCCCTTCATTAAACCTAACATTAAAAGGCGGGGGAGAAGAGGGGGGAGGGGATACAGGCACAGTCACCTGATTTGGGAGTAGCCAGGAAGTAGGGTGGCCTCTCTCAGTGCCCAGGGTCTCACTAATTATTGTTAGTAAATAATAATGGTGACATTTATATATGGTGTTATGGTTTGCAAAGCACTTCATATGTATTATTCCATTTGATCCTCACAGAAACACTCTGAGGTGGACCCTACAAGTATTCTTATCCCATTTTACAGAGAGAGAAACTAAGGTTTATCGAGATTAAATGACTTGCCCTTGGCCACTTAACTAATAAATATCAGAAGCAAGATTTAAATGACTGTTGCTGATACCACATCTAATGATCTATTTGGACAACACTGATTTTTCCACTCTGAAGAAAATACCACCAGTGCTCCTGTCTTCTCCATAGTCCCTAGAAATGTTTTCTAGGTTCTTTCTATGTATATCCTTTGGTCCTATGTAAATTGCCAAAAACTGTCCCTAAATTTAGAGTTAGAAGGGATCTCAGAGGCCGTGTGGTCCAGCCCTCTGCCTGCCCAACTGCCCACCCCACCATGTTAAAGGTGGAAAAATTAGGCCTGCAGAGGTTAAGTGACTTGCCTAACTTCTCACAAATGTCAAAGGCAGGATTTGAACCTAGGTTTCCTGGCTCCAGAACCAATGCCCTTTGCACCCTTGCCACTGCCTCATTCTGCAGCATGACCTTGGTACATGCCTCATGAAAGCAACACGGCTTTCAATTCATCTCCTGTCAGGTCAGCAGAGGCCGCATGGCAGTGGAGAGTGCCAGGCTCTGCACTCCGAAGGCCTCGGTGTGAATCTGGACTCTTTCATTTAAGAGCTCAGGCTCTTGTTAAATGAGGGAGGGGTACAAAATGACTTCGAAAGATGCTATAAGCTCTCCAGATCCCACTGTCTTAGCCTCATGAGCCTTCAGCTGGGAGTCACAACAAACTCCTTGCA